GTAAAAATCGACACGTTTCAAAAAGGCGGGGCATAGAGGAGAAACAATAATGTACAGTATGTGGAAAATAATGTGTTTTTTGAACTTTAAACCGCATAAACACATTTCATTACACCAAATACACAAAATAATGTTCTTTTTAGCAGCATCATATGACCCTTTTAAATGTTCAATGGGTGGAAAAATGCTTTTCTAGGAAAGGTTATCTCAAGCAAAAATGTGCATGGTCCACATGGGGCAGTATGAGTTCAAGATTAAATGACCGCCTTGACAAGAAAAATAAGTTAAGAAAAAATATTGTATTGGCTTATTAGTCATTCTTTAATTTTTAATCCATATTTTTGTCATCATGTATGCATCATGTGCTTGCAAAGTGAAGAAAATTGGCTTGTCACCAAGGCAAAATTGAGCAATAGAGGGTTAAACTATTTCTGTTGTCAAATCCTTCACACTAGGAACTGGCAGAGTATGAGAAAGTTTCTGACCAGGTCAAGATTGCACAAAGAGGTAGGCCTGATTGTCACATCTTTCCAATACAAATACAATAATTTGCTTGGAATAAATACTTCTGTGGATTGCTTTAGTAAGAATTTGAAGCTGATACCAATCATACTTCTCTACTGTAGATCTGGAGCAGGATGGATTCTCTAAAAACCCTTTTTTCCATGGAATCATTGCTGAAGTGCCAGAGCACCTTAAATCCAAAGAGGGTGAGAAAAAAGAAATAGGCATCTTGATTCAGTATTCATCTTGGATCAACAATCCTATTAAAAACATCCTTCTGCGGTGCTGCACTAGGATACATATTTGTTATCTAATCTGGGCATGTGTGTCATGTCTAGCCTGAGTGCATGGCTGTTACATAAGCTTGTTTTGCCATTTTTTCCTCTCTTGCTTTACCTCCTCACAATTACATATATTAATTTTCTACACCATTTTAAGCAACAATGCCACATCATGTATATTGTTGTGAATAGTTTACCCAAAAATGAAAAATTGCCAAGATGTAGATTAGTGTGTTTCTTCATCAAAACAGATTTAGAGAAATTTAGCAGCATTACTTTGCATACTCACCAATGGATCCTCTGCAGTGAATGGGTGCCGTCGGAATGAGAGTTCAAACAGCTAATAAAAACATTACAATAAACCTCAAGTAATCCACATGACTCCAATACATTATTTAATGTTTTGCAAAGTGAAAAGCTGCACATTTGTAAGAAACAAATCCATCATTACGGATGGAAGTGGAAAAGTGGAAACCACCAGTGGAAAAGTCCATTCCCTTTTCTCTCACAGTAAAATCCACCAGCATATTTATGTAGAACTGTTTTGGACTGTTTTTGCTTGTAAACAGTGCTTGTTCTGTGCATATTTCTCTCCTGATTCAGACAAGATGGCTTTTTCACTGGAGAAAGCAATATTAGGAATAGAGGTCATTAACTGATGGACTGATGGACATGTGGATTACTTGTGGATTATTGTGATGTTTTTATCAGCTGTTTGGACTCTTATTCTGACGGCACCCATTCACTGCAGAGGATCCTTTGGTGAGCAAATGATGTAATGCTACATTTTTCCAAATCTGTTCCGATGAAGAAACGAACTCATCTATATCTTGGATGGTCTGATGGTAAAATGTCATTTACTTTTACTAAAATGGCATCTACTATTCTTTGAAGTGCCTGGCCAAATGTGCTAATATTGTGGTAACTGCATGTTTTACAACTTGATATCGTTTGCCCAGAGTATGTTTAAGTTTTGTGTTTACCCTGGTGTTAACATTAGTGGTATTTTTTTTATTTTAGCTATCAAGCTGACAGAGATGATTCATGTATGTATATCCCTTTACAGGTCATACCAAGGTTGGTTACTCTCTGTACTTCTACACATACAGTTCATGGAAAGGTCGGGCGGTGTACATGGAGGATCTGTATGTGATGCCAGAGTTCAGAGGTAAGGAAACCACACTGTGTGCTTTTGTTTTTTTGAATTGAAAATAAAATGTAAGTCCTTTGACTGATTAATGGTTTTCTGTGAGTATTTCCAGGGAAATGCATTGGCAAGGCTCTGATGTCTAAAGTTTCCCAGGTGAGGGGTGTTTATTTATACTAGATAATGGCAGCATATGGCACACGATCATAATACATTAGCAAGGAATCTGTTGTTAACAAATTGTGATTTAGATTATTGTTGATTGTGTACAATTTTACATGTTTGTGATTAGGATCACCCACAGCTTGGTCTGGCTGCTGGTTGCACCCAGCTGAATTTCACTGTGCTGGACTGGAACAAATCATCTCTTGACTTCTACCTAAAGCTGGGCTGCTGGGATGTGACCTCCGACCTCGGCTATCACTGCATGCGCTGTGAGGGCGATGTCCTTGAACACTTGGCCCAGGGGGACCTTTAAATTTTGAAGCACATAGATTCCACTGTCAACCCCTGACCAGAGCCACAAGTAACAAGTTGTTTGATAAGCACAGGAAGACAGTAAACTGACAGTTAAATGGGAAAACTGGAATAAGTAACCATGCTCATATCCTATAGACATTTTCTGAGATAAACGCAACTTTATGAGGCAATATAGACAAGCAATATTGCCGAGAACAATAGACAGAAGATCTTTCTTATTTATGTTGCCTCAAAAAATGCATTTGATTCATTCTACATAATTAAATTGTGAAGTCTGACCTAACCAAAGATTCAGAAGTGCACTGTTGTGTCATTGTGAATCGCATATATATTGGCCATATTATGACATAATCATTTTTCTACTAGTGGAAAGAGTGGAAGTGAAATTGTTACAGTTGGTGCTGATACCAGCACTGTTATTCTTAGATGTTCTATTTAAATAGCCATTTTATTTGTTATATTACATGTCATTTTATTTTTACATTTGAATATCTGTTTGAACATCTAGTCGGTCTCACTCACAAATCCACTTTATCTGAAATTATGCACAAGTAATGTTCTTAAACTATGTTGTAATATATAAAGAACCGATTGGTACACAAGAGTCACAACCACCTAGATTCTAGAAGATGAAGATGTGTCTGTTTACGCTGTACATGCACAGATATAAGCCACATACTTTTCTCGACTAACTTTTGGTAACCGTTACCAGTCATAAGAGAGAATAAGGTCACTAAAAGTAGAAAAATGCACTACAAATGTAAATAAGCTAAATCCTACAGTATATGCTATTGGTTAGTGAAACCATGATTGGATTTTGCTTTTCTAAATTGTTTACTTTGCCTTGTAGATGCTTTTTTTGGTGCATTTTGCATTGTGTATTATTTGTGTGTAATTTTTTGGTAACCAGATATTTTATGTCTATTGCCAAAAGGTCTTTGGCAAGAAAATCTTGTGCTGTTACTAAATACATTATAAAAATGAACAACATACAAGCCATAATACCTCAGTCTCTAAATGTAGTTATTTAGTAAGTAATTGGTAAGATTTAATGACCTGTTAGGATGGAACTGTTATTTTGTAGCACTTCAGAGAAACTCGGTGCAGCCTCATTGTGAAGATGATGGCAAAAAGTTACATTGTTACAAGTTGCTGTATCCAGTGTACTGTGCAGTCTGTTCTATTGGCCATTGATTAAAGTACATTTGTCCATGGTTTTGCTACATGTGTTTTTACTTGACATAAAGCTTTTAAAGCAGTGTAATCTAGATTAGTGTTGAACAAAACTATGCACAAGTAATCATAAAATAAACATAGTGAATGCCACTTCTGAATCAATGACCATAAGATAAATCGTAGCTGGAAGCAGGATTCACATTTGGCCTGCAGATCACTTCATTACTAAGCTGCTGAAACGCCAAGATGTTGCAGTAGTTAGCACACTTTAGTCAACAGCGACATCAGGTGGTCACCCGGAGAAGCGATTAACGATAAACCACATTTGGGACTTTTTCCAGCGCATTTCACTGAGGAATTCAAGTAGGGCTTCCGAGACAACAATTGTGCCGTGCATATGTTGTGCATATTTAATCCTTTAAATGCTCGACCGATTGACAGGCCAACGTTTCGTAGCAAATGAACTAAGTAAAAACACTGTGAATCAGACCCAGGCTCATTTTCTGACTCATAATAATCGAACTCACTGCCAGGAAACCATCCTGTTGTTTGGGACTTTTGGAAGGGAAAAGGAAGAGCAGAACTAGACACATCTTCACAATATTGACATTTATGTTAGAAAACGATCAAGCAATGATTAGACTGCGCTGTTTGTCATTTTAGGTATCATAGAAGAGACATAAAAATGATAAAATACGTTTATGTTTTTATGTCTACAAAATATTACATTTAGGATTATAAGACACAAGCAAACAATTTACATGTCATTTGAAGATAATACAGGTACATATTTTAATAATCCCTGCTAGAGAAATAACACACGCATAAAGATTATTTATAGGCCTAGGCCTACTATATAAAATACTCACATGGTTTTAGGAGCTGATTCAGGTTAAAGAAACTAAATGTGTGTCGCTGGAGTTTTTTCTTACGAAATGTGACCCTGGACCACAACCCCAGTCTTAAGTCGCTTGGGTATATTTGTAGCAATAGCCAAAAAAACATTGTATGGGTCATATGCCAAAAATCATTAGGATATTAAGTAAAGATCATGTTCCATGAAGATATTTTGTAAATTTCCTACCATAAATATATCAAAACTTAATTTTTGATTAGTAATATGCATTGCTAAGAACTTCATTTGGATAACTCTAAAGGCGATTTTCTCAATATTTAGATTTTTTGCACCCTCAGATTCCAGATTTTCAAATAGTTGTATCTCGGCCAAATATTGTCCTATCCTAACAAACCATACATCAATGGAAAGCTTATTTATTCAGATGATGTATAAAACTGGCTTTGTGGTGCAGGGCCACAAATAGTGTATATGGACGGTTGCATAAATGCTTAGACTAGTCTTAAAGCTAGTCATCTAATTGTTTAAGACTAGTCATAAGTCTTAATAACTGGTCATCAAGTCGGTTACATAAAAACGTAGATTGGTCTAATTTGAATCCGAAAAAGAGACTAATTGCGCCCTGGCTTTATGCAGCTCTTTTCTTTCTTTCTTTTTTACTTTAATGTTATTGTGGTGACAGTTTAATCAGCACTCTTTACTCCATTAATCCATGGTCACACTTTGTCAAACTTTAGAGAACAACCAGCTCAGCCAGCCCTCTAGAAAAAGAAACGCGGACAAGCGCACTTGTTGATTTGAGGCAGGACAGAGCTAAATAGTATTTCGCTGCAGAATAAGAATACTTGGCACCGCACGAGGGGGGAAGGAAATCTGTTTTCCACTGCTGTGCAGGACTCACTTCCCTGCAGTGCATACTTGAGCACATGGACGCAGAAGTGCTTTGAAATGACACCTCGTATGGACTAGACCATGATCTATTTGTCAAAGAGAACACGAGGAAGTCATGCCAAAGAATCAGGTCTCTGGAAGATGCGAATAAAATCCAAATCCCACAGTGTTGCTGTGCTACTGTCAACTCTCTGCACAGGAATAAGAGGAATATTGCTGTTCCATTTGGGCCAGTTTATGCAATAAACGCAGACAGTTCTCCATATACCAAAGCATTGGCAGCGGCGACTGATTTGCTGGGTCAATCTCGCAACGATTGCAACCAGGTTTGCGTTGACCGCGCTGCAACAGCTGCATTTGCGCTCTGGAGAAGCTCTCGCGCATGGGACCTACCAGAGAGGCTCAGAGATGTTCTCGTGGAATATGGACAGAATGATTGATGTAGACGCTCCAGAACGGTAAACGACCCGCGTGCGCAACAATGCAGCTAATTCTTCAGAGGAGACCAAGGATCCGCACACTGCGCTTGGTTTGGTCGCTCATGGCCGTGCTCGCGCTGTCCCTGGCCGTGTGCAGTGCCATACTTACGGTGTGGACAATGCGACAAACGCGGGACCTGTCGAGGTCTTTCCAAACTCTGCAGAGGCGCTTAGAGCAGGTAAACGCGGTCGCCCGTTTGCTCTGGTTTTTGTCTTTCAAGTGCACGTCAGACGCAAGCATGCATTCCCAAGCACATTTGTCAAAGCAGTTCTCACTAATCATGCAGTGATTTTGCAATTATGTTGTTTTCTTTCTTTTAATCACGAGGTTATTGTGGTCCTGAGCATAAAAGCCATTTGCAAGCTCTTTTTGGGTAGGTATATCATGAAGAATGTACTCATATAAGTTCGAGGCACTTGATTATACAAACATGCAGCTGCTGCACCGCTGGGGGTCTGCGAGACGTGTTTTTATGACCCTTCCAGACTTTGCGCGCAGGGTGCTGTGAGTTATGGCCTATTTAGTTTCTAAAGTCGCTGCCAAGTGTGATGCTTCTGTTGCCAGTTTTGCTTCTTGTTTAGGGCAATTTACTGGAAATAGACTACTTGGCACGAGGGCGTTTCGAAGCCAAATACATTGCCTTTTAAAGAATCGGGTCTCGTGAAAGCATTTGTATAAATATGGTTAAATGATTTGCAACTCGTAAGCTACCATTTCGCGTCTTAGCTTGCCCTCAGATACAGATGGGTAACTTTGTCACGAGTATGTTGCTGTAATTATAACTATTGTTTTAATTACTGTTAAGTGCGCTCGAACGTCCGTTCTTCCGCCAATGTGGACGGAACACAGACAGTACTAATGTGTTCTGAATCCGAGAGAGTTCCTGCACAACTCTCCAAGCGCCCTAACACCGCTACTGAATACGAAACATACCGCGACCAGTGTGCGATTCCAGAAGGAATGACTCGTATGAGCCGGTTCTTTTTAGGGAATCAAACTATTCAGCGTGACCGGTGTAGAGCGGTTCCCGAACGAATGACTCTTATGAGCCGGTTCTCTTTAGGGAATCAAACTATACAGCGTGACCAATATAGCGCGATCACCGAACTAAGGACTTTTGTGATCCGGCTCTCTTTAGTGAATCGAAAACACTTGAGAATCGGTCTTAGCATTTGCTTACTTATTAAAATACCTGTTACAGAATTAAAATACTTGTAACTGAATTAAAATACTTTACAGAGACTTATATCAGTGGAGTAACAGCTTGTGAAAGAACAAATGAAATATACAACCACATTTTTGTTTTAGTGTTTTAATGTAATATATATTCGTATAGTGTTGTGTTTTTTTTTTCATTCGAAAGCAATGCGTGCATTTGAAAGATTCGTTCAAAAGATTCGTTCACAAATGAAACATTACTACTAGGACAAATTTAAAGATACAGACCGAAATTAGAGAGGTAAAATAAAAAATACCATGGCAGGCGAACTGCTTAAACAACGTAACTAACGTCAGCTAGGGTTTTAATCCTTGTTGCCAGGTAATATGAACTTTATGGTTAGGTATGTTAGGGAATATGTTTTCCATTGCTTTTCAGAAACTTTTTCAGAAAAACATGGTAATATACAGTTATGGTCTGGCAACAGCTGCATTTATGTGATATTCTGCAATCAATATCTGGCAAGAGTTCACCCATCTGGCAATATTTCACCCACACACATAGGCTACACACAAAACAACAACAACAATGTGGTTATAACTCTGCATATGACTCTTAACTCTGTTTTTTGTTGTTGTTTTTTTTGTTGTTTTTTTTGCAGCACAGTCAGTGCTTGAAGTGAGCTGGTGTTGTGCCCAATTTTGACCCCCTGCCAAATTATTACCCCCCCACTCGTTCAAGTCGCTACCTGATTGCCTAATCCTAACCTTACCCCTATTCCTAACCCCTCCCCCACACCTACTCCTAAACCTACCAATACTAGGGGGGTAATAATCTGGCAGGGGGTCATAATTGGGCACAACACCGGTACGCACCGGTAGTGCCGAAATTTGCCCCCTGCCAGATTATGCACCCCCTAGTATTGGTAGGTTTAGGAGTAGGTGTGGGGGAGGGGTTAGGATTAGGCAATCAGGTAGCGATTTCAACGAGGGGGTGCATAATCTGGCAGGGGTGCAGAATTCGGCACAACACCGGCACTTCTGTATTTTAGTCTTTAGCGTACTGGCACTTTTTTGTGCGTACTGGCACTTCTGACATGTTGCCGGTGTTGTGCCCATTTTCGACCCCTGCCAAATTATTACCCCCCTTCGTTGAATTCGCTACCTGATTGCCTAATCCTAACCCCTCCCCCACACCTAACCCTAAACCTACCAATACTAGGGGTGTCATTTTTAACACCGGTGTTGTGCCCAATTCTGACCCCCACCAGATTATTAGGGGTGGGGTTAGGATTTGGCAATCAGATAGCGATTTCAACCAGAGGGGTAATAATTTGGCAGGGGGTCGAAAATGGGCACAGAACCGGTACTCAAGAGTCAAAGCGTCAGTGTCTGGTGAAATAACAGTATATAAATCACACTACCAGGAGGGGTCACCTCTCATCTCGACAAATCGCGTGAATGAATGTTGAATGAAATTGTGTGAGGTGCAAGAGCATGTCAGGAGAAGTAATAATTAATTACTAATTTGAATCAGTACATTATAACGAAAACAATACCTGAAATTGAAAAAATGAAAATAAGCAGGTTTTTGCGATCATTAATGTAAACCGATAAACTCCAGGGAGGATCCAGTAAGCAAATTCAAACAGTCGGACAAAACAGGGCTAATGCAGAGAAAAATATGGCCAATTTCATCAGAGATTGTGGAGAGAATAGTGAATCACGTCCAGATGTCAGTAAATTATTCTTTTCATTGTGTATTTGGATTAAAAGCAAGAATGTTTTATAATGGACGCTGGCTGGCTGAGGTGATATGTGGTGTTAAGGAGTTTAGCGATTCTGAATGTATCCAGTGGAGGTTTAGTCGTCTTTGGCGCCTCCCTGTGGTCCTGTTTGGTATCGCAGCTTGACTTGTGTTTATTTGTATTGAAAACGTTTGTTTAATTACTGATTGATTGTGGCACTATACATAGCCTACATTGTGATTTATGACAATTAAAAAGTAGTTATTTAATGTAAAAAAAAAAAAAAAAAAAGGGGGGGGGGGGTTTGGCAGGGGGAGTACCGGCACTTCTTTTTTTCTTCAAGCACTGGGCACAGTACAGTTTTTGCGCACTCTGTTACTGTATATGGCGAGTGTAGGTCCAAATGCACTTTGCTTGGAGTAGATTGAAAGTCCAGATGGACAGGTACTCACTTCACTTATAGGCACAACCGCGGTTTCTGTTGCCAGACATTTGTTAAACTGCTGACAAAGCGTTCACATGCTTGTCACATTGTCAGCTTTTTCTTTTCCACTTAAAGTTTCCCTTTAACAGAGAAGCATTTGCAGAATGTAACCTATTGCATTAATGGAAAAAAATCCCTACAAGGTGTTGTTACCAGATTACATTTAGGGGAAGTGGTTGACCTATTAAAAACTGATTTTCAGTGTTTGCCAGGCTTCTGGTGACTGTTTGTTTGTGTCTCGCTCAGGAACGCCTCCAGCTTGGGTTTGATTATTTCAAAAGCTATGACTACTGCATGGGTTACCCGCAAAACGCCAGTTAATAGAAGCCAGCAGTGTTTCTCCTCAGTGGCCTGCTCGAACTTGACACACATATTTAGGTTCCATTCCTGGCCCAGTCACTATGGTTGTGTCTGTCTCCCATATCTGTCTGCAAAAGCTGTTAAGCGCAATGAAAAATGTTATTCTTTCTTCTTCTCTCACTCATTATTTCTCACTCTTGCAGGTGAATATGCAGCGCAAGGCCATCTTCCAGCTCATCCTGGAAAAACGCGAACTGCTGGAGAGTCAGAGGTTCCGCAGAGATGGTACTGAAAGACATCATATGTCATAATGTCAGGCATGAAGCCAGTTATTGAAATCCATTCAAAGCACTTGACTAGTAAACACTGAACAAATGATCTGCGGTTGTGACAGATTCAGATGCACACTATCCATTATAACAATAACAGATTACTCTTTCAAGGAAATTGAATAAAACCATAGAGATTACAAAAATGCAAAGGATGTATAAAAACACTATTAAACACATAGCCATGAAACTGACACACCACAGCAGCTGTCAGGAAGCCTTGGATCACCTGCAGCCTTTGCAGCTGCAGAAGGATGATCTTTGGTCGTTGCACGCAATATTTACAGAGGCCAAACCATTTTGGACACCAAGGCACCTTGGTTAAACCATTGGGCATATGTTTCCAAAAGCTGCAACAGGAAACAGTAGGCAGCAGGCTGAATGACAGCAGAAATTACAGGTTTGAGCTGGATGGACACGCACCCGGCAAAAACCAACTGGCACGAGGACTGCAAGGGCATAACGGTTTTAGCAGCCTTCTAAAACAAATGACCCCTTCCACTGAAGCCTGAAATAGCTTTAATTAGCAATAGACTTACTTTAGTTCTGCCTTGAATTTTTGAACTACGACCAAAATGTTCAACAAAATAAACATTAGTGTAGAAACAGATGGACCTTCAGAAGTCCTATGAGCAGCCGCAAGTCTTCAGCTGACACCTGATGGCTGTCTGATTTCAGAGCCAAAATGCTTATCCACAATCATTCCTCAAAATATATTGTTTTCCTAGCCCAGAATAGTGCCCCTTAGGGACAGTCACAGCTTCAGTTTGAAACGGTCAGCCAGAAATAACAGTCGTTTTAACCATTTAGGTGATCAGTCAATGCACATTTTGACGGACTAGCGGGAGTTTAGGCAGCTCCCCTGAGGCGAGATTCGAGAGTCTCTGGAGAGGAGCAAAGAAAAAAAACACATTTCTCAAGGTGGTTTGTTTGAATTATTGCCTTTAGTTGAACAGTAGCCATAGCTGTTAATCTGTCTCATTTCATAGGAAGATTATTTTCTGCATGAGAAAGGTTAAGAAAGAGCCAACAACTCATTTTTCTTGCAGTGTCTAATTTTTAGTATTTTTTTTTTCTAAGTTTTGCCTCTTTGTTGACTGAAACCAGCTGGTGGGGTGAAAGCAGAAAATACTGTGCATGGTGCCTGTTACTGAAAACAAACGCTAGGAGAAGTGTAGAACAGAGCTGAAAGGAAATATTTCACCATCTGCTTTGACAATCAGGACTTTAGCTGGTGTATAAATTATTCTAGATTAATCCATGATGTTTGCATCTGCACAGCTGTTTAATGCTGGAAGTTGCAGGAGCTCCACATGGATGACTCTTATCTGCATCCCAGAGAGTTTTGTCTCTTTTTCCAAAACATGCCTTTCTTTTGTCTTTATCTTGCAAGCGGGAGGGAGGAAAGGAAATGGACGAAAAGTGGCCTCTCATTTTGAGAGTAAGTGGACAGTATTGCAAATCACTTTATTTAACAATGAAAAACCCAACTGCTGTTTTTCCCCCCAGACTAATATATATATATATCTCATTTTTAACAGTAACCAACGATTCCTTCCAAAAGGGTGAGTTATTTGGGAGTATATATATATATGTGGAATATTCTCTAAAAGTACGTGTCATATGGAATATTCTCTAATAATGTGTGTGTCCTAGTGGGCAGTGAGGGAGTCATTAAAGGATGGACTGAGGAGCAGCTGAATATGAGCAGGGCGGTGCATTATAATCCAGAGACTGGCACCTTCAAAGTGGAGCGCAGCGGCGTCTACTTCCTGTACTGTCAAGTGAGTTCCAGGTGCATTGCCTGCAGTGGTATCACATATGCTACCTTTTTGTGTATGCGTGTGTGGATGTGTTTGTGTATATCAAAATTGTTGTGCCCTTTTGGTCATAATAAACATAATACTTAATAATTGAGGCAGCAAACAGGATGCAGAATTGCAATTTGAATTATAAGGTAGTAGAATTAAAATTCCAAGAAATTCATATAACTATTAACATATAACTAGAAAATAAAAGTTTTCAAAAGCCTTCATATTTGAATGTTTATAGATATTTTGTACAGAGAATGAAGATAGATAGACCTGGGGTGATGAAACCCTGCTCTGGATAAACAACTGTTTGAAGAGAAAAATGTAACAGAAAACACGTGAAATGGAGTAACGAAGAGACTGTTATATTCTTACCTTTATAGTCCAAAATATCCATTCAGGAAAAACTCGATAGTATAATCGGCAATATGTGAGGATGAGCAATGCTAGAGCCTTCATGTAAATAGGTCAATATGCTGCATTCATCCAATCAATGTCGGTGACACTGCAAATATGCAAATAAGAACATTAACCAAGGGTTTAGGAATGTACAGTGTGAAACGTCAGTGTATGAATACCGAGGATTAATTGTTAACCCCAGGTAAAGAATGAGCAGTGACGTGACATGTGGCCAAGTATGGTGACCCATACTTGGAATTAGTGCTCTGCATTTAACCCATCCTTAGTGCACACACACACACCGTGAACACACACCCGGAGCAGTGGGCAGCCATTTATGCTGCGGCGCCCGGGGAGCAGTTGGGGGTTCAGTGCCTTGCTCAAGGGCACCTCAGTCGTGGTATTGAAGGTGGGAGAGAGCGCTGTACATTCACTCCCCCCCACCTACAATCCCTGCCGGTACGAGACTCGAACCCGCAACCTTTGGGTTACGAGTCCGACTCTCTAAACATTAGGCCACGACTTTCCCCTTGTTTCATATATTTCAACATATCTTTTTGAAATATATTTCAACATATCTTGTTTCACGTTTCGAGCAGTGTGAAACGTGAAACAAGATATGATTCCATTTACCCAGTGTTTCAAATCACCCAGGGTTAACTATTTCAAGGGTGAAAAGCCCTTTTCTGTGGTTTCTGTTAAATCAAATCAAAAGGTTTCTGGTTTAGTCATAACTTATTTCTTTTGCTCCCTGTTGAAAGCCTTTTGCTATGTCTCCTGCTCTTAATTGGTCATTCCTGTTTCACTTGTTCTGTTTCTGCATTTCCACCACCAGGTACACTTCAACGAGAACCAGAGTCAGTACGTGAAGCTCGAGGTGTCTGTTCCTAAAGGCCCTTTGCTCCAGTGCATCGAGGGGTACGGAACCACACCAGCGTCTGGCTCCCACAAGTTTCACTTCCTAAAGCCTTGCCAGGTCTCTGGCCTCCTACGCCTTAACAAGGGCGCCGAGCTGAAGGCGGTCACCGGAGGTTCCTTCAGTCTGCAGATGTCAGGCAAACACTACTTTGGCCTCTTCAAAGTTAACTAGAGGCACGGACAGTTTTCCAGACACCTCAGCTGTATGAACAAAATAGTTTTATAGTTTTCCACAGATCACTGGCCTTAAATTACCTAACCTAAACCTGTCTCTTTGAACCTGGCGTTGCCTTAAAAGAGGAAATTTTGACTCGGTGAGGAACGTTTCTATAACCAGCTGTCCATGGTCACGGACGACCCCTTTATGAATGCAAGTGCCCTTCCATGAAGATGTCATCGGGATGTTAATGACTGCACAACTTGCCTTGCTGGACCAATTTATGAGAATCATTTGGTACTCTGTCGGTTTGGCTGCAAATGCCTTATTAAACGCAAACCAGCACAATTTCTTCTATATAAATATAGCATTTAATTACAGCATACCAGAGACATTGCTCCAGCAGCTTGGTTGACTTATATACTGGCATAACCAGTTTGACCAGAAGGACGATGAATTTTCAGCAGCGTTGCAGGCCACTACAAGTATGAGAGATTTCACCACTGGTTACTTGGCTGGACCAAAACAGAGTTGCCCTAGTTCCTGAACTGCCTTACCACTGGATGGGTTTTAGTGCAGAAAAATTAAGGTTTTGGCTGGTCGTTATGAAAACTCAAGAGTGACTAAATATGCATCAAATAATGCAAGAAACTTTACTTTTGTTGTTGCATCAATTTGAAACAACAAGCCAGACTTTTTTTTTTTCCCAAACACACTGTCACTGTGACATATGAAACATATATTAATATTTATCGATGAAAAGGCAGTGACTTATTAAAGCAGATACTTAAACTTTTGTTATACTGAAAGTGGACTGTGTGTACATATTGCATGAAAGTTGATGACATGGATGGCACATACCTTTAAAAAAGTCACAGTATGCCTTTAGTTTTTATATAATGTACAATTTCATGTTATATTTTTTAAAAGGTAAAGTTACAGATTTTTACACCATCGTAATTTCATTTAATCTCACTAATTAGAAATGTATGAAACCACTGGTGACTCCAATCTGTCAATGTCTACCTGACCTACCGCTCCTGAGGCCTTTCGTAAATCTTGTCAATACTGTCAATTAAATCTGAAATGGAAATTACAACCGCTGTTCGAAATGCACTTTGCCCCAAATGGGTTTCCTAATAGTGCCGCCGGCTTCCTCTTTGTATTTCCTGAACCCTCATGTGGACCCCTGCAAACCTTCTCATTTCCACTTGCTTCTGGACTCTCACTTCCTGAATCTGAATATGCAGCAAATACTTGAAAACCTTTTGAGGAAAAACATGTGCTTTTCCCCCCCTGATCTCTATCCCCATTCCTTCCCCCTTGTCTACTCAGTTTTTTTTTTTTCATCTGTTTGGGTTCACTCCTCGCATAAAATCCACATTTGGCTAGCGGCACCGTTTCTGCTTTTAAAACATCCAAGATAAACCTGACAGATGAAGTACAGTCAGATTCTGTGAGATTAAACGTGTGAATTTGAGGTGACAGACAGTTTCGATTTCAAAATATACACACAGAGTGTTTCTGCTTCATGGGCATATTTTTTAGATCTTCTGAAAAATGTATTTTACCTGTAAATCGGGTTGAAGATATGAGGTTCCTACATTTATGGTTATTGAGAAGGTATCAAGAAATGTAATCTCTGTAGGTTTTCAAAGCCAAAAGACCTGTAAAACTGTTAAATAAGTTACATTACAAGCCTGCAAAATGCAATTCAGCTTTCATAAATTATGTTCTAATATTAAAAATTAGGGCTGGGTTCTGACACAAATTTCACAATTCGATTCGATTCTCATTAACAAGCTTGCAATTCGATTCGATTACCGATTCGATTCAATATCGATTATTTTGGATACATATCAGGTACAGTACATGCCAAATTTTCTCAAGGAAAACAAATCTCTCAACTAATGCTGTAAAATATACATGAGAGTCAGCTGGTACTACATTATAATATTAAAGGTTAAAATTGACTGATTTGTGCTGTACAACTGCTTAAATTGCACTTAATGAAGTTTTTATAATAATTAAGTTACAATTACTTCAGTTAGTTTTTTTTTAATATACACATTTAAATAGTGGCTGTCATAAAAACTTGGACCTGATTTATTCAAACACAGCCTAAATAAAACATTAAAGAACGGTAAAACATTTTTTTATAATGATTGGTGCATATATTTAGCAAAATGCTCCTCTCTACAGTTTATTTTTCTGGCTGAATATCGAGTTTATGGTCACCAGATATGCTTTCTGAGGTAAATATGATGTTACATGAATTGTTGACGCCTTTGCGCGGCTGAAAAAATGATTGAGCGATTATGAGACAGGATACGGGTTGTAAAATTGTACTCTTTCTTTTAACTTACCTTCGGATGTTTAGTCATGATTATTTTGTGCTGAAACTTGTATTAATGTGGAGGAGATGATCAGTTCACGTGCGCCTCGCGCTGCTGCGTCTGCTGAACTGAGGCGCTGGCTACAGCGATCTGTCACTCCACATTAAACAGCGCCAAAACGGCATTTATTGTTTGAATACTGCAATACAATGGACATAATTTGAAATCTGAGACTTTGTTTCATATTAAAAGTACCAAAGCACAATGCTTATTGCGATATATTGGATGGGAGGTGTGCTTCAATGTTCCATCCATTAACTGAAAACAGGCTAGACTAATCGATTCTTGGGATTTTAAAGGGGTCATATGATGCGATTTAAATTTTTCCTTTCTCTTTGGAGTGTTACAAGCTCTTGGTGCATAAAGAAGATCTGTGAAGTTGCAAAGACTAAAGTCAAATACAAAGAGATATTCTTTATAAAAGTTAAGAGTCAACCACGCCTACCTAAAATGGCTCGTTCTAACACGCCCCCACATGTCTACGTCACAATGTGGGAAGATTTGCATAATGCCGCCCAAATGTTCACGCAAAGAAAGGCGGCGTAACTTTTATTCTTGCTGTTGCCACCACGGCCATTTTGTGGAGACACTGTGTGTTTCGTTGTGAAAGCGAAACTACTTTGGTTGGCCTTCCAAAAGAGGA